ACTGTTTATTTTCCCTTCGCAGCGAGCTAAGCCACGCAAGTTTGTCGGAGGCAGAGTGCTCCTAATTTGGTCTCCAGTGACCTCTGGCGCCGTGATTGGCAGCCCGGTGTCAGGGAGGAACTTGTGCCTGGGAGATAGAAACGAGCAGAACAAATGCCGTAGGACAGCTCGGGCTCCCCGGGGGACACGGGCTCAGAAAGGTGAAAGAAGTGCAATTACAGGAGGTTTTCGGCGCAGAAAGTTAATTAGCTACTAAATAGCATTTAGTGCCGTTCGACGTGGGGAAATTTATGTTTTGAAAGCAAACAGATCAATGGAAAGCCTGTGGAACAAGCTCTTGGAAGGTCCATGTTGACATCCGTGTACTTTGTACTGTAACAGCCTGAGTAGTTTTTCCCAGGTTTCCCCAACAAATAGGAGGAATTGTTGGATTTGTTTCCCACGTGTTTGCAGATGTATAGAAATGCTTCCACGTGAGGATGCTTTGGCATTTCGTTTTAGAAATCCTGGCTTTCTAAATCCAGGCTATCGAACACCTTGTTCCCTGGTCACCGTGGTCAGTGGAAATCGATTTGGGTTCTCTGAGGCACAGAAACTTCAAGTTCCAAATGTTTTCAGCAAAGGGTGGCTTTAACACAGCTCTTAGCGTGGTCACTCGTCTGTGCTGGTCAGTGTGACAGCAGCATTCCCTGTCTGTGGCTGGCTCTGGGTGCCACACTGTGGGAAGCTGGTGCTGTCCTGTGAGTGTCCTTCCAGCCCTGCTCTGCAGAGCGAGCAGACACATTTCAGCATCTCCTTTTTAATCCTAAATTACCAGTCTGGTTTCCTTTGCATGTCTTTTGTGTCACTGAATTCAGCACGTTCCAGTCTATAATATATGTATATTGTCAAGGACACTTTTTTATCAGAGCAATGGATTTGGGTTCCAGAAACTCAATATTACCTTACTCTGTACAGCCACTGTTCTAAATTTTTAGGCATTTCAGGATAGCTTTGAACTTTTATTGGCAGATTATTTGTTTGAAGCTGTCTGTCTTAGCAGCTGATGCTGCCAGGAGCTGTTTCACCTTGCTGGGAAGAAGAGGAACCCAGAAGGTCAGTGCCTGTGGGGAATAGTGGAGAAACAGAGAAATGCTAACCCCTGGGGAGGAAAAGGGGCATGTAATTCCCATTACATGGATGCTCATACATTATGATGATACTCATTGTCTGTAAATGATGGTCCCAAGCCGGCGTGCAGGAATGCTGGGGCTGTGGGAGCTGTTATTAGTGACTGATGGGGAGGCAGCTCCAGCAGCAGGGCTTGGCTCTGGCAGGAGGCTCGCTGGGAATCAGGTGGTGCACGCTGACAGCTTGGGTAACTGCCACATCATGGCTGCAGCCTTCAGCCCCTTTCTCCCTCATAATTGTGTTTGTCACATCACATCGCAAAATGAGTTATTAGGTCTTTGTTGCTGAAATTGGCTTCCCAGGTAATCAGGGCAGGTCTCTGGAACAGAAATAATAATTGGGTTCAGCTCTCTCTGTGCCGTGGGTGTGTTCCAGGGCTTTGGAACAGTGGGCTGGGTCCCAGTGCTGCAGGTTGAGTCTCACCTGAGCTCCTCGGCCGGGCGTGCGAGAGGTCCCGAGGGGTGGGAGGGGGTGGTGGCTCCTTGGGGCTGCAGAGGCTCCAGGAATGTGGATATGGTTGGCCGCTGTAGTTGATTGTAGAGTGGAGAAAATGCATCAGCCCCTGTTCTTAGTCCCAGGCAGGAATGGGATGTGTTTTGGGACAAGAGTGGTGGGACTTGGCTGAGGGCAAAAGGCTGAAGTGGAATCACAGAATCACAGAATTGTTTGGGTTGGAAAAGCCCTCAGACATCGAGTCCAATCCTTCCCCCAGCACTGACCATGTCCCCAGGTGCCATCCATGGGGCTGTTAAATCCCTCCAGGGCTGGGGACTCCAGCACTGCCCTGGGCAGCTGTGCCAATGTCTGACAGCCCTTTCCGTGGAGAATTTTCCCCCAATACCAACCTGGCCCTCCCATGGCACAGCTTGAGGCTGTTTCCTTCTGTCCTGTCCCTTTTTCCCCAGGAGCACAGCCCGACCCCTGGCTGGCTCCACTTTTCTGTCAGGGAGAGAGAAGGTCCCCTCTGAGCCTCCTTTTCTCCAGGCTGAGCCCCTTTGCCAGCTCCCTCAGCCATTCCTGGTGCTCCTGCCCCTTTCCCAGCTCTGTTCCCTTCCCTGGACACGCTCCAGCCCCTCCTTGACCTTCTTGAACTGAGCACATGAACATGGCTGGAGTTTCCTGACCCAGGTTTTCTAATCCCCCTTGATTTTTTTTCCCTGTCCCTTTTATTCCCGTGGCCCACTGCACTTGTTGTTTTGCTGACCAGTGCTGTGTACTAGCTGGTGCTCTGTTTTTCCTGGATCCCACAACCCAAAGTCTCTCTGGAATGTTCCTCCAGCTATTTGCATTGCAGTGCTTCAGCTCCTGCTTTTATGGGGTGCTCTGGGGTAAATTCCTCATCCAACAGATAGAATAGTCTGACAAACAATAAACTCTTCCTCTGCATTTGTCTGTCTTGAGTGCCTGGTGAGAGGACTCCCCAAACCCCACAAGATTAGCAGAGATCATACTGCTTGTTATCACTACAGAATGATCTCAATATTAAAATTTTATTTAAAAGTAGTCCAGAGATTAGAGTGTTTTCAATTCTTTTTCAATCAATACGTACAGGACAAAGTCATTTTAGGCACAGTGTGGGTTTTTTCCGAATTTCCCCGGTGACTCAGTGAGCACCAGCACGAGGCGCTCCTGTCCCTGCTCTGTGCTGTGAGAGCGTTTGTGTCCATTGGCCCCTGTGAAGGGCAGGGAGGGCACAGGTGTCTCTTTCAGATTCCGCCCTCTGCCTCAGCGAGAACGCCGCAATTTCCCCTCTCTGCTCAGCCCGTGCCCCTCGCAGGGCTGCGGCCCTGACACGGGAGGCTGCCGTGCTGGGGGTGCGTGTGCGAGCTTGTCGCCGCCGCCGGATGGGAACCGCAAACATTTGTCTTGGAGAAGCATTTCCGGAGGTTCCCCCGGTGCCAGGGCTGTGCCCGGCCTCTCCTGCCCGCAGGTCTCAGCTGGTGCTGCTGCTCCTGGGGCAGGTTTGGGTTTGGAGCAAGGGAACTGCAGCTGGACATGCCGTGCTGAGGAGCCACAGAATGCCCAGCATCAAAGCCAGCTCTACTGGTCACTCATTTCTTGGCACCTCTCTGGACATCTCTGCTGGTCATTTCAGATGATGTTGTTGAAGAACTGGCTTGTGGACCTCTGTGACCAGGACCTGCATGATCCTCATACCAACCCATCCTCTAAGCCATTCCTTTGCCATGTGGACCGGCTTCTCTTTGCAAGAGTTTTAGAAAACGCGTTGCCTCTGCTTAATCTTTGAGTTGGTTTGAGTCATCTCTTCCAGGAAAATCCTGTGTAACCAGCTGTGGCTGTTATGAAGTGTTGCTCCGTAAATACCAGCTGCTCCTAGCAGGCAGTCCGGCCCAAGTGTCTTGTACCAGCACTCTTGTTACATCTGTGTTAATGTTAGATACTCCGTGTTTCAGAGAGTGTTACATTTTGCCACCTTATCAGAAAGTAATGCTTGATTTTTCATAAAGGCCAGTACAATCTTCATGGAAAAATCCCCAAGGCAGGGGATGGTGTGCCTTGGTCGATGGCATCCTGGTGTCTAACCTGGAGTGGGTTTGGATGTGTGCTGGGATCCCTATGGCCACATCCCTTCTGAGTCCTCATCCTCCAAACGGCCTGAGTGTGAGTTCTGCTTTGCTGCTTTCTTTCCAAAAACCGGAGCAGCAGAACTTCCCAGAGAGCCTCGAAGCTGCTCCTTCAGCTGGAGCCAACCAGCCTTGGTCTCATGCAGTGCCACAGGGGCAGGAAGGGGCTGGGGGAGCTGAGTCCCACCCTGGAGCAGGGCTGGGATGAAAATGCCCCAGCTGGCTGGGCTGTCCAGAGTCCCAGAGTCCCAGAGTCCCAGAATGCGCTGCCCAGGACGCTGCTCCTGGGGAAGAGGCCCCGAGCCAGGCGCGGGAGGCGCACGGATGTGAAGTGCATGCTGAGTGTGTGATTTCCAGCCTTCAGTGCCCACATTGTTGGATAAGAGGATTAGAAAACACCACATAAAGTGGCCTTGCAGGGGGCTGCTTTGTACCTGCTCCGGGCCTTGTCTGGCAAACCCCAATTTCACAGCAGAGCCCATTCAGAGCCCGCGCCGAGATTGTTCACGTGCATTGGCCTTTTTACGAGCCAAGGGGTCACAGTTTCACATTCGCTTCATTCCCAAAGCACTGATAGTTTTCGTTTGGGATGGGGGCTGGTGGGGACATGGGGGCTTTTTGAGTCTGAGCTCAGTTTGCATTTAGAGCTGGAGAGCTGGGGTGGATTGGGAAAGGGTTGGGTTCACTCTCTCTACTTTGTGGTGGATTGAAGAGCTCAGGTGTGATTTCCCAATCCTAACTCTGCCAAGGTTCAAGATTGCAGGTGGAAGCCATTTGTCTGGAGTTTATCGCCATGAATCCAGGAGGTGTAATGAGAAACTCAGGTTCAGGGCAAACATCCTTGGATCTCGCTGGTCAAAGAGGGAATTTCCCTTATGAGATCTCAGGTCCATGCTGCTGTTGGAATGTGCTCATTCCTCCTGTCCCCATCCTGATGTGCAGTGGCTGAGCTGGACACTCAGGGCATTGCTTGAGCATCTTCATTTTACCTTCTCAAAAGTTGGTGTTTTGAGGAATGGGTTTGGCTCTCCCCAGTTCTGCATGCAAGACTTTAGGAAAAGGCCAAAACCAGGATGCTTTTTGGGATGGTAGGGATTAATTTAAATAAAACTAATTTAGTTGGTGAATGAATGCCGGTTTCAGACCTCTGACTAACAGTTTTTACCATGGAGCATCTGTGACTGGTGCACATACCCACAGCCTCCCGTGGCTGACGGGGTTTTTGTCCCCACGCTCTGCCCACAGGGACACGTGTGACAATCGCACGACCTGCTCCACCAGCTCTGCCTCCAGCCTGGACACCAGTGCCCAGTTCCAGGAGAGCAATGGGCAAACGCAGAGCACCAGATGGGATGAGCAGCAGAAGGTATTTGCCCTCGAGCAGGTGTGTGGTGTCTTCAGAGTAGACCTGGGACAAATGAGATCCCTTCGCCTTTTCTTCAGGTACTGGATCCTCGTGTGAGCTGTGTGTGAGCTGTGTGTGAGCTGTGTGAATCATGTGAATTCTGTGTGAGCTGTGTGTGAGCTGTGTGAATCATGTGAATTGTGTGTGGGCTGTGTGTGAGCTGTGTGAATCATGTGAATTGTGTGTGAGCTGTGTGTGAGCTGTGTGAGCTGTGTGTGAATTGTGTGTGAGCTGTGTGTGAGCTGTGTGTGAGCTGTGTGTGAGCTGTGTGAATCATGTGAATTCTGTGTGAGCTGTGTGTGAGCTGTGTGTGAGCTGTGTGAATCATGTGAATTGTGTGTGAGCTGTGTGTGAGCTGTGTGTGAGCTGTGTGTGAGCTGTGTGAATCATGTGAATTCTGTGTGAGCTGTGTGTGAGCTGTGTGTGAGCTGTGTGAATCATGTGAATTGTGTGTGGGCTGTGTGTGAGCTGTGTGTGAGCTGTGTGAATCATGTGAATTGTGTGTGGGCTGTGTGTGAGCTGTGTGAATCATGTGAATTGTGAGTGAGCTGTGTGAGCTGTGTGTGAGCTGTGTGTGAGCTGTGTGAATCATGTGAATTCTGTGTGAGCTGTGTGCGAGCTGTGTGTGAGCTGTGTGAGCTGTGTGTGAATTCTGTGTGAGCTGTGTGTGAGCTGTGTGTGAGCTGTGTGTGAGCTGTGTGAATCATGTGAATTGTGAGTGAGCTGTGTGAGCTGTGTGTGAATTGTGTGTGAGCTGTGTGTGAGCTGTGTGCGAGCTGTGTGTCAGCTCTGTGAATTGTGTGTGAGCTGTGTGCGAGCTGTGTGTGAGCTGTGTGAGCTGTGTGTGAGCTGTGTGAGCTGTGTGCGAGCTGTGTGTGAGCTGTGTGAGCTGTGTGTGAATTCTGTGTGAGCTGTGTGTGAGCTGTGTGCGAGCTGTGTGTGAGCTGTGTGAGCTGTGTGTGAGCTGTGTGTGAATTCTGTGCGAGCTGTGTGTCAGCTCTGTGAACTGTGTGTGAGCTGTGCATGCTCCATGCTGGGGCTCTGGGCAGAGGTGATTTCTGCAATCCTACCTGGAAGCCTTTCCAGAACAATTGTCTCCAGGAAAGTGAGTGTCAGCCTTCCCGAGGAGAGCCTCTGAATTACAGTTACACAGTCGAAAGGATTTTATTTTTAGTAAAGTAAAGGTTGCTCTTAGCTGTCATACCATAAATGCTTCAAATAACCTGGGGATATGAAAAACATCTTTATCTGTGGTACCTTTTCTTTTGCCTGCCCCTCACCAGGCTCCTCTGGAGTCTTGCTGCCGTCAGCCTCTGCAGTTATCTTTCAAATTATTACAAAATTTATTTCAAATAATTGCAAAAACATTTTCACTCCCTTTTTTTTTGCTCTCACTCCCTGTTTCTTTGGACAGAGCTGTGTGTGAGCATGTCTGCACATCCCTAGGAGCTGACTTTGTGTACTGCTTTCATGTTTCTGGGGCACACTTCCTGTGGTTTTTTCTCCAGGGAAGACAAATTTTAATTCCTTCATGTGAAGGAAGGGTAAAAATAGTTCTGCTACCAGGCACAAGCGGAGAAAATTGTCACTATGACCATGTCATACAATCATGAGATGTCTCGGCTGGAGTGACCCATGAGGATCAGTGAGTCCCAGGGGTGTGAAGCTGCCTCTGTGCCCTGTTGGAAGGGACAGCCTGGTGTTGCTCTGTCCCTCCCCATGTCCCTGCTGGTCCCTCGTGGTGCTGGTGGCCCCTGCAGGTTGCTCTCCGTTGTTCCCACAGCGATGAGGCGTGCACCTGTGGGCAGCTGGTGGTGGCGAGCAGGGAGAGCCAGTACAAGATCTTCCACTTTCACCACGGGGGCCTGGATAAGCTGTGCGAGGTGTTCCAGCAGTGGAAGTACTGCACAGAGACCCAGCTCAAGGAGCAGGTACCCGAGCCAGGGGTTTCACACGTGGGTTGGTGTGCTGGAGAAATGGGGCGTTGGGTTCATGGCAGCAGGAAGCTGCCAGGTGCTGGGTGCTTAGGGTGGAAGTGCAAACTGGGCTCAAGGTGTCTCTTGGAGCTGTCTCCATCCACTCCTGTTCTACCTGTGGAATATGGGGGAACGTCATCCAGAAGATTTGCTCGGTGATTTTGATGGACATGACAGGTCAGCAGTGTCCTTGAGGCACAGAAGGTGCCTGGAAATCTGCAGAGATAGGTTGGAAATGGTGTCAGAGCCTTTCATCCATCTTGTGACGCATAACATTCCGTTTGGAGAATGTTTTGACAAGGCATCTTGCCATATTTTGTTCAATCTACATACAAATGTGATAAGAGCTCTTTAATTATCTGTTTAAGATATTGTATGTGCTTATTAGAAACAGTGATTTTTAAATTTCCATCCTTCCCACAGAGCCCCCCGCTGCTTTTCTTATTACGGTCGCATGGGCTCACTTTTTGCATTGAGCAACCTTTGATTTTTAAATTAAATGTCAGCTGCAGCCTTGCACTGGGATCCTGAGTGCCCTCAGAGAGCCTGGCAGCGCAGCTCCCCGCTCTCCTAACAGCAATCCCTTTGTATATGGCCAATCATATGTAATTTATTGCAGGCATTCCTGGCAGGGGCAAGTTTTGCTGTAAGCAGCATTAATTCAGTTTCAGGTCAGGGATAAGATTGAAGGAGGAATGGAAACTATTTTTTTTTTTTTTTAAGATGAAGCTGTTTGGTGGTGGATTTTAATTATTCTAATCATTCTTGTTAATGTAATGGTTGGAATTAAAAAAAAAATAAAAACCAACAAAAAAACCAACAGAACCTTCCCAAGTGCAGCTCCTCAGTGCTTAATCCCCCGCGAGCCACGCAGAGGTTTCGCTGCTCTGGGTTCCACACTGTGCTGCTCTCGCTGGCTCCTGTGCAGCTGTGCTTTGCTCTCCCCCTCAGCAGCTCGCAGATGAGAAAACCTGCATGCAGTTCTCCATCCGCCGGCCCAAGCTGCCCTCCTCAGAGACGCACCCCGAGGAGAACTGCCAGCAGCGCCTGGACGTGGCAGCCTGGCTGCAGCACCTCAACGAGGCCGGCCAGGTGGAGGAGGAGTACAGGCTCAGGAAGGTGAGTGCGGGCTCAGGAAGGTGAGTGCAGGCTCAGGAGGGTGAGTGCAGGCTCAGGGAGGTGAGTGCAGGCTCAGGAAGGTGAGTGCAGGCTCAGGAAGGTGAGTGCGGGCTCAGGAAGGTGAGTGCGGGCTCAGGGAGGTGAGTGCGGGCTCAGGAAGGTGAGTGCAGGCTCAGGGAGGTGAGTGCAGGCTCAGGAGGGTGAGTGCAGGCTCAGGAGGGTGAGTGCAGGCTCAGGGAGGTGAGTGCGGGCTCAGGAGGGTGAGTGCAGGCTCAGGGTGGTGAGTGCAGCCTCAGGAAGGTGAGTGCAGGCTCAGGGAGGTGAGTGCAGGCTCAGGGAGGTGAGTGCAGGCTCAGGGTGGTGAGTGCAGCCTCAGGAGGGTGAGTGCAGCCTCAGGAAGGTGAGTGCAGCCTCAGGAGGGTGAGTGCAGCCTCAGGAAGGTGAGTGCAGGCTCAGGAGGGTGAGGGGCTCTCTGTGCTCTCTCCTGTGCTAGATGTGAGGTCCCAGGGCAGCTGCAGGAGTTTGTGATCCTGCCAGGGACAAGAGCTGGGCTTTTGGGAGGATGGAGACCTGAGTGAAGCCTTGGCTGTGGGACTGGATTCCCACCTGGGCATGTTCCTGCATCACCTGCTCTAGGTGACCCTGCCTTTGGAGTGGATATCTCCAGAGTCCCTGCAGCCCTAACAATTCTGTGACTCTGTGGTGGGGAGCATTTCTCTGACAGAGGAGCTGCCCCACCTCTGCTGCCAGTTGGAATCAATAAACCGAAGTGCCCAGTGCCTGCTGTGTTTGCAGCATGGGTGACCAAGGCACAGAGAGCACTGGAGATTGCTGGAAGAGCTGAGATGGTTGGAATAGCTGAGACTGCATGAACTGAGATGGTTGCATGAACGAGATTGCTGTATGAAATAGCAGGGCTGAGGGGAGCACAGGCCCAGGCTCTGAGACAGAAGTTTGCAGGGCAGTGCAGTCTCCAGGATTTGGGATTAAGCCGTGACATGAGAAAGACACGTTAATCATAGAGCCTCTCCGGGGGTGGTTATTGACATTGAAATGAGCCTGATTTGTGTCTGGTCTGGGAATAGAGGGCCAGCACTTTCCCTCTAAACATGTGCAAATTGCAGGAGCTTGAATCAAGGCGTCACTTGTCAGGAAAGAGCTGCAGAGGCACCAAAGCACAGCAGCGGGCAGTTGCCTGTTGCTGTTTCTGGGAATGCCGAAACTGTACCAGCCATCATTTTGCTCCTTCTTCCAGGCCATTTTCTTTGGTGGGATTGATTTTTCCATCCGTGGGGAGGTGTGGCCCTTCCTGCTGCACTACTACAGCTACGAGTCCACCTCAGAGGAGAGAGAGGCACTGAGGCTGCAGAAGAGGAAGGAATACTTTGAGATCCAGGAGAAAAGGTAACAGACCATCACCATCCTCCCCTGCTCATCTTCCTTGGGCTGGGCTCACAGTGACACCTCAGTCTCCGCATCCTTTGCATGAGGAGAGGCTGGATAGAGGAGTGGGAGGGATGGGGAAGGAGGTGCTGGGCACTGCTGAGGCTCTGGAGCCAATGTCACAGAGCTCAGACATTTCCTGACCTGGGTTTTGGGAGCAGCCTTGTCAGAACCGCGCAGGGAAACACCTCACAGTCAAGGCTTGGGTTAGAACACTGATGGTGAAATTGGGATCTTATATTTCTTTATGAATAAAACGTGCATTTAAAAAGGGGATGAGAAGGGTTATGTACTTCCAGAAGGTTGATAATGCAAGAATTGTGTGTTGTTAAATGGAGGTGGGTACACTGAAGCTGGAGGGACACAGTACTGTTGATAATCAGGAGACGATCGAACCAGAGTGCTGAGTTCTGGTGTGCTGAGTTCCAAGGGGCAGTGGAGAACAGAGTGTGATGCTTCTGAAGTGTTTATTGCAGCGAACACAACATGTCACCCTGTTTGTAACCCAGGAGGCTCCTTCCAGTAACCCCCTGGGACAGACAATCCACTGTTCTGGGCAGACCTGCTGGTCTGTTATTCAGGTGCTGAGGAAACTCGGTACAGGAATAGTTTTTCTCTGCAAACTAAGACTGAAATGAGGCTTTTTGTTCACTGTGGCAATCACATTCCTGTCGTGGCTGCCCTGTGCTGTTGCTGTGTGGTTCCCAGGCTGTCCATGAGTCCCGATGAGCAGAAGGATTTCTGGCGCCAGGTGCAGTTCACGGTGGACAAGGACGTCGTGAGGACCGACCGCAGCAACCAGTTCTTCCGAGGGGAGGGCAACCCGAACGTGGAGACCATGAGGTGGAGTGGCTGATTCCAGTCTCCTAACAACCACGTCCTGCTCCCCGTTCCCAGCCCAGGCTGCCTTGGAATGCTGCACTGCACCCACCGTGCCTCTGCAGCCACGGGCTGGAACAGCAGGGCCTTCCCAGTGCTCCCGCTGCTGCTGCAGCTCCCTTCTGTGCCCTGTAACCCTGCTGCCGTCCCTGAGCTGCCCTGCACACACAGGCACAGCAAAGGTGCTGTGGTAGGGCCGTGGGCTTGGCTCTGTGGTTCTCCTGGTGGGGTAGAGGACAAGCACACCAGAGTCTGCTCCATGACAGTGTGACTTGTAAAGGTGTGACCCCAAAAGAGCTGGTTTTCGTCCAGCAGCATGGCTTGGAGCTTTATGGGTGTATTGGGCATCATCTCTCCTTTCCCATGGGCTATTCATTTCTGTCCTCCCATCTTTTAAAATTCTCATTTTCTGTTCATATTTTGCTGTCTGTGAATGCCAAACCTTTTCCTGAAGTCTGTGCCACATGGGGTTTGCGGCTGGGTTTCCCTGTCTGCGTTACAGCACCTCACATGAGGCCCTGCGTCCCTGAGATGAGGCTGTCACCTGCCCTCACCTGTGCCCTCTGCATTTGTGTCTCTGCTCCAGGAGGATCTTGCTGAACTACGCAGTGTTTAACCCAGCCATTGGCTACTCCCAGGGCATGTCTGACCTGGTTGCCCCACTCCTGGCAGAGGTCCTGGATGAGTCTGATACCTTCTGGTGCTTTGTTGGGCTGATGCAGAACACGATCTTCATCAGCTCCCCCCGGGACGAGGACATGGAGAAGCAGCTGGTGAGGCTGAGTGCTGGGCTCCCTTCAGTCCCCGGTTCCTGAGCTGGGGGGCTCCAGCATGCCAAATCACACTCCAGAGCCACTACACCCTCGGGGCGATCCTTGGGGTTGCCACGTGCAGGGACTTTGGTGATCCTTGTGGGTCAGGATTTTCTGTGATTCTATGGAAATACCCGGTGGGTAGAATGGATGCTGAGGCACCCCAGAGGCAGTTACATCCACCCTTCTTGTGAAGGGGCAGCTGAGAGAGAAGGGCCGTGCAGCTCTGCAGCTCTGGGGTGCCGAGGATGGCTCAGCCCCGGTGTCCCTTGCTGTCCTTGCAGCTGTACCTGCGCGAGCTGCTGCGGCTGATGCACCCGCGCTTCCACCAGCACCTGTGTGCCCTGGGGGAGGACGGGCTGCAGATGCTCTTCTGCCACCGCTGGATCCTGCTCTGCTTCAAGAGGGAGTTCCCCGAGGCCGAGGCGCTGCGCATGTGGGAGGCCTGCTGGGCTCACTACCAGGTGAGGCACATCCTGGCTCAGTGCTCGGCCCCGGCTCTGCGCGTGTCCACAAAGGCTCTTCGCAGCAAAGCAGCCAAAACAAGTCGGGCCTGGGACTATGGCAGAGGTTTATCTGTGTAGCAGGAGGAGGGAGCCCTGCTTGCCTCTCCTCCTTGGGGATGTCTGGGCTTCACAGGGAGGTGTTTCAGGAAATGCTGAACGCCCACCTCTGAAGTTCAGGCTTCGCTTAGCTGGGAAATGTTTTCCCAAAAATCTGCTCTGGGGTGCAAACACTGGTGCAGAGCTTGCTGCTGTGCTGTGAAGGAAAGAGGCTTTGGCTCAGCTGTGGTTCAGGAATCCCCAGTAGCTCACATTCTCAGCACTGGGCAGAACTGAAGGGAGCAAAATCTCTCACCAAGGAGCCGCCTGTGGAGGGTGGGAGGTGAAGCCAGAGCTCTGCCTCCACCTGCTGTACAGCAGCCCCTGTGTTTGTTCCCGTTGCAGACAGATTATTTCCACCTCTTCATCTGCGTGGCCATCGTGGTGATTTACGGGGACGACGTCATCGAGCAGCAGCTGCCCACTGACCAGATGCTGCTGCATTTCAGCAACCTGGCCATGCACATGAACGGGGAGCTCGTACTCAGGAAGGTAAATGCCCAGCTGGCAGTGACTGGGGCCATGGGGTGAGCTGTGGTGTGTGTGTGGCAGCCCCTGTGACCTGCCACTGTCCCCAGGGCCCCGGGTAACCCTCAGGTGTTCGGCAGGACACACCTTTGCTGCAGGCCAGGCAGCCAAACCGGAGCATGGGGTGGGATGGGATGGGAGGCCACCCCAGCCCTGCGTGTTGGTCCCAGGTGAGGGATGAGGGGTGATTTTGGTGTTGGTCCCTGGTGAGGGGTGAGGGGTGATTTTGGTGTTGGTCCCAGGTGAGGGATGAGGGGTGATTTTGGTGTTGGTCCCTGGTGAGGGGTGAGGGGTGATTTTGGTGTTGGTCCCAGGTGAGGGATGAGGGGTGATTTTGGTGTTGGTCCCTGGTGAGGGGTGATTTTGGTGTTGGTCCCAGGTGAGGGATGAGGGGTGATTTTGGTGTTGGTCCCAGGTGAGGGATGAGGGTGCCTTTTCCCTCTCTGTCCCTCCAGGCCAGGAGTCTGCTGTACCAGTTCCACCTGCTGCCGCGCATCCCCTGCAGCCTGCACGACCTCTGCAAACTGTGTGGGACGGGCATGTGGGACAGTGGCTTCATCCCCGCCGTGGAGTGCTCTGGGCACCACCCAGAGTCCGAGAGCTGCCCCTACGGGGGGCTGGTGGAAGAGTCTTCTCCTGCAGCAGGAAGTGAAGGCAAGAAGGGCCTGAGGACACGGGACGTCTTTGCCTTCCGAAAATAGCGGAGAGGAACAGGGTGCGACGGAAGGGCAGGGAAGGGAAGGGCAGGAAGGATGTGCACAGGGGAAAATGTCAAAGAAAGAAATGGAGGAACGGCTTGTCAAGGCTCCTGAGAAGACTGGAAGGTGTGCAACGGAGGAGGAGTTCAATTGCTCTGTAGGGGAAGTTCCGTTGCGTGGGTGATGGAACCTGAGAGAAAGGCATCGACCCCGGAACTGTGTTTGGATTTGATTTTGTTAGAAACAAGCTTTTCTAGGTTTTAACAAGGAGTTTTTATTCTGCCTCTGGGACTGGACTGGTTAGCAACCAGAACTTTCTCACCTGCTGGTGAGAAACGAGAGCACCCCGGGGATCCAAGGCCAACCAGAAGTGTTGGTGGGCAGGTGGCAGGAGCAGGGCCAAGGCCACTGTCCCCTCACCCAGAGCACACCTCTCTGCTTCAACCAAACACGCAGCTTCGTGGCTTCTTTTTAAAGCCATAAAAGCCATTTTAATTATATTCTGCCAAAAATAAAACTGCAGAGCGTTGGGATTGCAGGGCAGGTGTCTGCTTTGTCAGCAAGCAAGGACCGGTCACCTCGAAGTCTTGTCTCTGACCTTTTCTGGTTTTATAGGATACACTGGCTGGCATGATTTTATTCCAGTTTTATAGAAAATGGACTGCCCCAGGTCTCAGAGCACAGCTGCCCAAAAGACACCGCCCAAAGTTCCCTTCTCCATGAGATATTGGGAAGGAATTCTTCCCTGGGAGGGAGGTGAGGCCCTGGCACAGGTGCCCAGAGCCTCCTGCTGCCCCTGGATCCCTGGCAGTGTCCAAGGCCAGGCTGGAATAACCTGGGATGGTGGAAGGTGTCCCTGCCATGGCCGGGGGAGGAGTGGGATGAGCTTTAAGGTCCCTCCCAACCCACACCGTTCTGTGATTCTCTGACATTACAGCAAAGCTGTTTCCTTATGCTGACAGCTGCAGACTTTAGTACTTTGGTCTGTTGTTTCCAGTATGTTTCCCATTGTGTTTCCTTTGGCTCTCCTCAATTACTGAATATTTACTGTCCTTGCCTGTCACTGCCACAGCCCGTGGCACAAACAGCCCGTGTGGGTTTTAGGCCCTTCACTCGGCGCCAGGGGGGCTGCCAGTCCCGCATCCCAAAGTGAAAATGAAACTTGCCGTGTGGCAGTGGTGTTTGCTGAGCTCTGTCTGACAAAGGTTTCCCCCAGGGTGTTTTTGGAAGGACAGTGTTTCTCCCCATGCCTGCAGTAAGTTTTGCCAGCCAGAAGCGGAGCTGGGGCCTGGAGCCCTGTTGCCAAAGGTTCTTACCAAGCCCTCCACAGGCGTTTCCTGAGCCAGCATTTGTGCCAAACGGAGCCAGGGGAGCACTTTCCTTGTGGGGGTGGCAAAGCAGCCGAGGTGGCAGCGGGCTGTGCCTCCCTGCATCCCTCTGCAGCCTTCATGCATCCTCTGCATCCCTCCCTGCATCCTCTGCAGCCCTCCCTGCATCCCCTGCAGCCCTCCCTGCATCCTCTGCATCCCTCCCTGCATCCTCTGCATCCCTCCCTGCATCCTCTGCAGCCCTCCCTGCATCCCCTGCATCCCTCCCTGCATCCTCTGCAGCCCTCGTGCATCCTCTGCATCCCTCCCTGCATCCCCTGCAGCCCTCCCTGCATCCCCTGCAGCCCTCCCTGCATCCTCTGCATCCCTCCCTGCATCCTCTGCATCCCTCCCTGCATCCTCTGCAGCCCTCCCTGCATCCCCTGCATCCCTCCCTGCATCCTCTGCAGCCCTCGTGCATCCCCTGCATCCCTCCCTGCATCCCCTGCAGCCCTCCCTGCATCCTCTGCATCCCTCCCTGCATCCTCTGCAGCCCTCCCTGCATCCCCTGCATCCCTCCCTGCATCCCCTGCAGCCCTCCCTGCATCCCCTGCAGCCCTCTGTGGCTGTCCTGCCCCTGGCACTCCCTGGCTGTCCTGCCCTGGCCCTGCTGTCCCCACATTGCTGTCCTTGGCAGCTCAGTCCCAGCCCTGCCTCTCAGGAGTTCTGTGCCCTCAGCAGCCCGTGGGGACCCACGGGCAGAGCTGGGTGGGTTCCTGCACCTGACAAGCACATTTCCCTCAGAATCCTTGAGCAAAGCCGTACCCAGAGCTGCCCTGGAGCCCGTTCCTGCTGGGCAGGGAAGCAGCACCAGCCAAGAGCAGAGAATGGAAGGAGCCCTGACCCACTGAGGGCAGCGTGCCAGGGGCTGCCCGGTGAGTGGCACAAGGACAGCTCAGCTCCTGGTTTGTGTGCCTTCAGTCCAGAGGATGGAATGCTTGCCCTGGATGGAAACCCCTGGGAATGGCACAGCTCCGGGCTGCAGGGCACCAAGGCTGCAGGGCACCGAGCTGCAGGGCACCGAGCTGCAGGGCTGGGCTGGCCTTGGGCAAGGGACACTCCTGTGAGGGCTGGGGCTGCTCCCGTCTGGGCAGGGAGCTCGTGGAGATTTGTGTTTCAGTGACAATAAAAGTTGGTGTGAGGCTTCTGTGTGTCCATTGCTGTGCAGGCTGGGGACAGCAGACACCGTCCCCCAGCTTGAGCTGCCCCTCAGGGACGTGCTGGGTGCCAGGGCTGCGTTGCTGTGCCCAGCTCTGCTCCTGGGCACCTGTGGCACCTGGTGCTGGGTGCCAGGGCTGCGTTGCTGTGCCCAGGCACCTGTGGCAGCACTCGGTGGCTCCATCCACGTGGAGGCTCCAAGTGGCGGTGCCTGAATTCAGGTCAGAAAAGGCACACGGCAGAAAATGCCAGAAGCATCTTGGTGGCGCAGGGACAGGTGCCAGCTCCCCAGGGGGACAGCGGGAGGCAGAGACTGCCCTGTGCCACCTGCCAGACCCGTGTGGCACGGGGACACAGCCCCTCCTGGCCTCCCCACTCCCTGCATGGGCTGGAGGCACCACAAACCCCTCCCAGAAGGGCCAGGGCTGCTTTTGCTGCAGCACTCGTTCCCAGCCAGTAAAAGACAATAGGAAGAGATGAAGTAGATAATTTGGAGCGTTATTTTTCCACTATTAAAATGTCATTCAGCAATGTGGAAATCACTCAGGATTCGTTCAGTTAAAGACTCTGCACTGCAGCTTTCCAGCATGGGGAATGAGCTGGGTTCTGTTTGAGGCAGGGCTCGGCTCTGGGTGGGCATCCTTGGCACCATTTGCCACCCTTGGCCACTCTGCCACGCCTGCTGTCCCCTGGGTGTCCCAAGAGACCCCAGGTGTGTGTCCCTGTGCTGCCCACTGAGCTCCCCATGCCCCTGGCACACACTGAGCCCACTGTGCCCTGGTTGGGACACAAGGGGATGGAGCTGGTCCCCAAGGGCCAGCACTGCTCTCATCCCAGTGACCCAGTTCCAGTCTCAGCCTGTCCATTGCCTTGTGATGCCTTTATTTAACGCACACTGGAGCTCCACAACCCTGTGAGCTTCTCTGGGGGGACACAGGGTCAGTGAAGCCAAGCTGGATAGCCTGGGACAGCGCTGGGAGCAGCCCTGGGATTCCCTGCAGTGCGAGGATGGCACATTGGACAGGGCAGTGCCTTTCAAAGGTCCTTGTGCCCCATCCCCGAGACCTTCCTTTGTGACACTCTTTGCCATCTGAAAAACCCCCAAGGAACAAGAAACCAGCCAGGCTCTGTTCCCTGCAGAGGAGGAAGGAGGTGCCAGGAGCAAGGACCCTCACGTGGCATCTCCCCAGCGCTGCCCTGAGCGTGGCATTAGCCCAGAGAGCCCAGAATAGCCCCTGGCAGGGTAAATATCCCTGTAAGCCTCTTTAGGCCAGCCCTGAGCTGCCACATCCTCCTGCCTGCCGGGGGAAGGGAGCAGGGAGGAACCCAGGGCGACTCCTCCGTCCTGTGCTCTGCAATCCCTGCGGGAACCCGGCCTGGAGCCTGGGAGGGGAGAGCAGAACACCACAGACACCTCGGGAGGAGGCCGGGCTGGGCACAGCACACCTGGGCACCGGGCACGGGGACACACGGGGTCACGGAGCTGGCACGGCCCGGGCTGTCCCACGGGAGGGGGCAATGGGGCAGCATCGTCTGTCCTTGGCACTGAGCCCCGAGCACACAGGGGTGGCCAAAGTGCCCCTGGAGCTCACTGCGCTGGGGAGATTGTCACCTGGGGTGGAGGGGCCTGGTGCCGCATCCCAGGGCTGGGTGTGCTGGGGTTTGGCTCTGTGTCACAGGACACTGCCTGTCAAATGAGAAATGACAGCTGACAGGAACAGAGAGACTCACCTGAGTTATTGTAAGCACCAAAGAATTTCAAACCCAACGTAGCCTGTCCTCCCGGGCTGGCTGATTAATCCCGGGTGGCTGATTAATCCTGGATGGCTGATTAATGCCGGGTGGCTCTGCTTGAGCCATGAGAACAGACCTGTCCGGCTGGCTGGAGCTCAGGGGCACCTCCTGCCCCGGGCACCGGCCCTGCCCCGCCCCAGGGGCACCTCCTGCCCCGGGCACCGGCCCTGCCCCGCCCCAGGGGCACCTCCTGCCCCGGGCACCGGCCCTGCCCCGCCCCGGGCTGGCGCTCAGGGCTCTGCAGCCCTTCCTGTGCTCCTTTACACACAAACGCAGCTCGCCGTGAGCTTTCGGGGCTCCTGGAGGAAAAGCAGAGGCTGGGGCAGCCCCGGCAGAGCCCAGCGGGAGCTGTGCCAGCGGTGCCAGCTCGGACTCGCCCTGGGAGCCGCTGGAGCTGCTCCCCCTGAGGCAGGGAGCGGGGAGGGGAGAGCCCTGCTGCAGCTACACGGAGCTCAGCCCCACGCCCAGTCCTTCCCCAAACCCGGCCGTGAGCACGGACACAGCTCAGGCATCCCACAAGGGCACCTGGTGCCAGCCAGACCTTGAGCGGTGCCTTTGCCACCCCCGAGGGTGCCTTGGCAGCCCCAGCTCCCAGTGCCCCATACCCAGGTCCCTGTGAGTTCAAGCTCAGGCCCTGCCCAAGCTCCTGCCCCGTGTGGCAAAGCAGCAGCAGGAGAAGGAGCGGCCCAAGGACTCTTCCTGGGACTTTGGGTTTTGTTTGGCTGGGGTTTGTCTTTCAGAAACTACAAACAAGTTCAGCTTCTTCTGTCTGAGCCGGGGAGGTGCCGAGCGATGGGGATGTGCCAAAGTCCTCTGTGCTCTCCAGAGCTCTGCAGGGGACAACGGGGCTGTCCCAGAGCCCAGGGACACGGCAAACACCCGGCATGGTGACACCAACCCTGCCTGACCCCGGGCAGAGCCTGGGCTGCGATGGAGGCAGAGAGCTCTGGGGCTGTGATGGAGCCTTTGGGGCTGTGATGGAGCCTTTGGGGCTGTGATGGAGCCTTTGGGGCTGTGATGGAGGCAGAGAGCTCTGGGGCTGTGATGGAGCCTTTGGGGCTGTGATGGAGCCTTTGGGGCTGTGATGGAGGCAGAGAGCTCTGGGGCTGTGATGGAGCCTTTGGGGCTGTGATGGAGGCAGAGAGCTCTGGGGCTGTGATGGAGCCTTTGGGGCTGTGATGGAGCCTTTGGGGCTGTGATGGAGCCTTTGGGGC